TCAGGGTGTTAGTCTTGTCTAGAACTGAACACAAAATTCAGTGGACCAGATACCAGAGGTTAGGCTCTAGTGTTAGCTCCATCTTTACCCAATGAAAAGGTTGAAGGTAAGTTACTTTGAAACCCTCTAGAATTCATGTATCAAAAGGGGACCCTTTCACTGGGTGTGGTACACATACTTGTAATCCCAGCACCTGGGAGACTGAAGCAGGTGGATCATGAGTCTGGGGCCAGCTTGGACTGCACAGTAAGGCCCTGCCTCAAGCTGGAAGAGAGTCTTCCAACTCTCAGCACCACATGAGCTTGGGATGTTTTTGCAGGTCCAACAGCAGTTTCATTTCTAGCTCTCAAAGTATTGAGTTGGGCAAAGGCTGAGACAGGAGAGAATATGCACAGTTCTGCTCCTGCCCCCGCCTTCCTCCCCAAGCCCAGGGAAAGACCCGATTCAGCCAGACAGTGGAGGGTCAGAAAGAAGCATGAAGGGGGTGGGAGGGCATGGAGACTTTGGTGAGAATGGTGGAGGCCTGTGCACAGAATAAGGTGGTAGGCAGGGTTACTCCTGTTCCAGGGCACGCCCCTTCTATAGTTCAGGGAGCAGAGAGCATAGGAGTGTTGCAGGGAGAGAGGCAGAGTGGGCAGTCTGCCAGGATGGGGCATGACTCTGCTCAGAAGTGTGGAATAAGTCAGTTGGGGAGATAGGGAGGGAAAGAAGTCACCCAGAAACTTCTGACCACTATATCCATGTCACCCTTGTGGTGACCAGCCAGGACTGCACCTGACAAGGGACACCGATGTGGCCCAATATCGACAGAATTTTATCTTCTTTTCTTTCCTTCCTTTAACAGGGTCTTATATAGCCTAAGCTAGCCTTGAACTCTTGATCCTCCCTCTGCCTTCTATGTGCTGGGATGACAGGCATGTGACACTACATCCAGCTTCCTTCCCTCCCTCCCTCCCTCCCTTCCTCTCATTCATTCATTCATGTATTTGAGACAGGGACTTACATACAGCCTAGGCTGGTCTCAAACTCCTGGCAGGCCTCCTACTCTCCTACCGGAGGACTGGGGTTACAAATCTGTGCCACTATGCCTGGCTACTTGTAGAATTTTAAATCTATGGCCATCTTAGGTCATTTAAGGAACCAACATGTCTTCACACCCACCTCTTGCCTCCCTTCTTTCAGCCAGAATGGCACTTTTTATGCAGTCCTTGCAACATCTGCCCTCCTACCCATGAAACTGTTCCCAGCTGCTGCCCTAGCTCATTCTGCTCAGCCTTCAGATTCAGCTCAGGTTCCATGGCCCCCTGGATACCTCCCTGAACCTCTACCAAAATTTTCTGGCCACTTGTCCCTGAAGTCTCCTTGTACAGGAGAGTGAGAACTTGACTTCTTGTGTCTACCTCTTTACTGGTAACCATTTTCCTATCTGAAGCCCTTGCTGGAATCTTCCAGGGCTGGAAATCACTCTTGCTCCCTTTTGTATACACAGCACTTAAGAGTGTCTGGCCCAGCCAGGCACAGTGCACATCTTTAATCCCAGCTTGGGAGGCAGAGGGAGGTGGATATCTGTGAGTTCGAAGTCAGACTATTCTGTGCAGGAGTTCCAGGCTAGCCAAGGCTACATATTGAGACCCTGCCCCCGGAAACCAAAAAGTATCTGGCCCAAAGGCTGGGCTCAAAGGATGCTGCTGAAGGAAGAGGTGATAGGAATAGGAACAGAGCTTAGTCCCCTCCCTGTTCACCTTCTGTAGAATACAGATTAATGTCTCCCTGCACCTGCTAGCCCTTGAAGAGCCTGAGGGCTGGTCAATGGGTTTTGCCCCTAGGAATATCCCAGAGATAGGCAAATAATCCAGTATGGCTCCCTCAAATGCTGAGGCTCCGTCTCATCCTACTCTCCACCAGGTTGTCTCCTGATGGCTCCTGAATCTGTCAACATAAGGGGTAGGAAGGCTATAATTTTATGGTGGTCCTAGAAGGACTAAGTGAAGGAATCACTGGATTGAGACCTGAAGGTGGTGGGGAGGCTGGGGAAGGGCATTCCAAACATGGAGACAACACAGACAAGGTTATTTCTTATGTGCATCATAGAACCTGCCCTATCAGATGCAGCTCTACCACCCTGTAAGGGAAACACTAAGGATGGCTGGCTGCTTGGCTAGTCTCCCTCTCCTGCCCCCACCCTCCAGGGCAGGAGAGTTATGGGGAACAATGCTAACTTCCTAAGATGTCAGACTCCACTTCTCGAGGCAAATGAGGGATATAACACTTCACCTGAGACTCCTAAAGAGGAGGCAGGGAGCATAAGCAGTATGCCCTTTGCTGCTTTTCTTAACAAGGACAGGATTTTAGGAAACATGCAATGTGCTGGGCATAATCGGTCACATACGGCCCATGGGATTCCTATTTGAAACAAGGAAGAGTGCACTTATGATAACTGAGGAAATCTAACTATGTACTATCACATTTATTTCATTGATACACTGCTAGATACAACATGTGTTTACACTCAAGTTCAAACTGTATATAATCTGTATACTTCAAGGTCTAGGTATAGGCAACAAGTTTTGGAATAAGCACCTAATACCTCATATGAAATAATAGCAAGAATCAACAAATGGGATTGCATCAAATTAAAAGGCTTCTGCATAGTGAAAGGAAATGGTTACCGGACTGAAGAGACAGCCTACAGATGGAAGAAAAGCTCTTGTCAGCTATTCATCTGACAGGGCGTTAATATCCAGGATAGATAAAGAACTCAAAAAATTAAATACCTAAAGAACAAATAATCCAAATAACAAACGAGCAAATGAACCAAACACAATAAATACGTGGAAAAATGTTTAATAACTTTAGTCATTAAGAAAATACAAATCAAAACACAGATTCCACTTCACCCCAGAGAGCTATCATCAAGAAAACACCACATTCTGGCAATGATGGGTAAAAAGAAAATCTTACACACTGTTGGTTAGGAATGTGGCCTAGTTAAATCACCATGTTAAGTCAATGAGGATGCTCCTCAGAAGATGGAAGTGCCAGATGGTCCAGCTAGGCCACTCATGGGTATGTACCCAAAAGGACTAAATAGAACATACTGCAGAGATACCTACAGTCCCATGTTTACTGTGGCACTATTCACAATAGCCAAGTCATGGAATCAGCTTAGGAACTTCTCAATAGATGAATGGAAAATGTGTATGTATACACAATGGAGTACTATTTGGTCATAAAGAATGAAATTATGCCCTCTGCAGGAATAATGGATGGAAATGGAGAGCATTGTGCTATGTGAAATAAGCCAGTCTCAGAAAAGCAAATACCACATTTTATCTCAGATCTCAATTAGCAAAGACATGAAGTAGAAGGCAGGTTATTTGGGAAGGGGCCAGCAGAAAGTGGGAGGGACAACAGAAGGTAATAGGGGTGAATACGATTAAAGTACATTATATACACACATGAAAGTGTCATAATGAAACCCACTATTTTTTGCAATTAAAATTCACTATTTTTTTTTTTTTTTTTTTATATAGAGTCTCATCTAACCCAGGCTGGTTTTGCACTATGTAGCCAAGGACTGTCTTGAATTTCTGGTCCTCCTTTCTCTACTTCCTGAGTGCTAGGATGATAGGCTACCACGCCTGGTTTTTGCAGAACTGGAAATCAAACTAGGATCTTTATGCTAGACAAGCACTCTACTAACTGAGCGACATCTCCAGATCCTGATTTTGTCTTTTGAGATAGGGTCTCACTCTGTAGGCCAGGCTGGCCTGGAACTCATGACAGTTCACCTACTTCTGCCTCTGGAGGGCTGAGATTACAGGCATGAGCCACTACACTTGGCTTTAATAAAATTCCTTTTAAAAAATGAACTCCAGCTGAGTGTGGTGGCACACACCTTTAATCCCAGTGCTCAGGAGGCAGAGGCAGGCAGATCTCTGTAAGATCGAGGCCAGCCTGGTCTACATAGTGAGTTCCAGGCCAGGTGGGGCTACAAGGAGACCCTGTCTCAAACACCAAAAGACCTACATGGGCTGGTGAGAAGGCTCAGTGGGTACATGTATTCATTACTTGCCATTACTTCATTACAAGCCTTACAACCTGAGTTCAATCCCCAACACAGAGTGGAAGGGGAGAACAAACTCCTGAAAGTTATCCTCTGACCTCCACACTGTGGCATGTGTGTGCTCTGTACAAGTATAAACACACACAAAAAATAATAAATTAAAAAATGTCTAAAGTTGAACTCCAGTGCAAAAGTCTACACCAAATGTGAAAATGCATTTCTGTTAAGTAACATTCCAGGCTCAGCTGCTTGTGGCATCTGGATGCTCATGTAACAACTCTGCCCTTGTAAATGGTCCACAATGATCTATTTCTTACCTGCTTCTTTTTTGAGTAGAGAACTACCTTTATAAATTATAGTTGCTAACAAGAGCTGCAAAGTAAAAAAGTATCACTGAATTTGAAGCAGATGCATACCAAGTTCCTTATTTCCCCTCCATCCCCTAAAAGAGTACACAGAGTAGGTACATCAGTGTATACAGTAGGTGTATCTTTCTTCTGTCTTTCGTTGTTGTTTTTGAGACCAACTGGCTTGGAACTCTCTATAGAATCCAAGCTGGCCCTGAATCCAGAGATCTGTGTGCTTCGGCCTCTTGAGTGCTGGAATTAAAGGCATGTCTTCCCATGCCTGGCTTTCTTCTTTCACAGCCTCTCATTACCTTTTAAAGTTTTTACTACATCTTCAATTGTGTGCATGAGGGAAATGGGAACAGATGTCATGGTGCACATGTGGAGGTCATGAGACAACTTTCGGGAGCTGGTTCTCTCCTTCCACCTCTCAGGTCCTGGGATTGAACTCAGGTCATTAGGTTTGGCAGTTGATGCTTTTACCAACCCAATCATCTTGCTGACCCACCTTTTTGATGTTCAAATGTGGGTCAAGTCTGGCTGCCAAACACAAATACTGCTAAGATTTAAGTAAGGAGCCATTCACATAAGGTTTGCACTAATAAAAATTTAATATCAGAAAACAAATCAGAAAACAGCAATTTTTAAATCATTCACAATTAAAGTGGAAAGAGACAAAATTATAAGGCAGCCATCCATGGAATGATTTTATGTGTACAAAGGATCCAGAAAAAGGGACATTTAAAATCACCATTTAGGCCACCAAACCAGAGGAGCTGCAGTGTTTATCACCATCAGACTCCCAGCTCTCAGGAAGACACCACCTACAAAGAGCAAGGCCAGGTTCCTTGTGTTAAGCAACTGTGTTAGATTGAGCATATCTAAAGAAGTCCTACATGGTCGGCTAGTACTTTCCCAAAGTCACACATCTTCAAGTCTCCTGAGGTGAACTGAGATGTCTCAAGTACAAAAAGTTGCATCCTTGGTTGCTATTGAAGCATCTCTACCTGTGCTCTTTAGGGGACAAGGACCATTCTGTACTGAGTAGAAATTTCCTGCTGCAAGGAAGGAAATCTATTGTAGAACTACCACCAAGGGGTTTCTCCTTGTACTGCAGCAGTTTGGGACTCAGGCCCAAAGGCAGGAGTGCTCTTTGGAGGTTTGTGCTGTTGACATATGGTTCCTGTGTTCAGTACTTAAGTTACCCTGAGTGACAGGGGCTTGCCACACTCTGATACTGGCATGTCCTCCTAGTTCTAATTCTTTACAAAGAGAAAAACCAGGTAGTGACACTTAGAAATAGACTAGTTTTTAAAAATAAAAAAATCCATTTTCCCCTTTCTACAAGGAGTGACACCTCCAAACAGCCACGCCCTTTCTTTTCTCTAATGACCCCAAACTGCCAGAACAGGCTAACCTGACTGTTTTGAGTTGGGAAATGAAAAGGTGCAATGGAGAAGGAAGAGCACGCATGGCCTCTGTAGGTGGTACCCTTTCCAACTCCTGGCATTCTAGAGCAGAACTTCTGTCTAAAAGAAGCCTGCAACAGTACGCCTAGGAATCCTGGAACCATATCAAACCCAGAACATGGCAGCTCTGGTGCTATGGGGATTGATAAGCAAGACCTGGAGAACCAGAGGGGTAGTGGATCAGTAGTTTTCAACCTAATCTGCCTTGTAAGAGAGTGCTTAGAATCTGAAGAACTCAAACTGCAATTAAGATTGCTTTGGTTATGAGGAAGAAGGGACCGTGCTTTTCAACGACTTCTCTTTGGTAGCCAATAATTCCATTTGTAATCATGGCAGCGGCTTAAGTGCCACCAGTGTTCGCAAATGTATTAGTGCATTAAGGCATCCACATCAAAGGAGGCAGTTTTAAGCAGGAGGAAAACAGAACTGAAACATGCTGTGGACACTGAGATAGCCTGTCCAGGACACTGTTCACCACACAAGCAACCTCTGCCCGCTCCCCCCGCCCAGGGAAAGAGGTCTCGCCACACTGCACATTTCTTGCTGCCTGAAGATGTGTTTGAGCCCTATTAAGATTCATATGGCTATTTCTGTCTGCTGACCAGTTCTGGAGGCAGCAGCGTGGGATGTGAAAGCTCATTAATATCAAGGTCCAGAGGGGAAGGAAAATTTGGAAGTTTGATGGTTCAGTCCTTGCCAGAGTTCAAGGCCTTATCCAGCAAGCTATTCTAGCCAAACTTTTAAGTGTGATGACAAGGCACTGCTGAAAGAGGCTTTGGCCAGTACAACATATCTGACCACTGCACATTGTAAGAGGACAGAAATCACTATCCAAACCAAATCAGACACAGAAACCTGCTATTTACTTGATGCAGTAAGTTTCTAGAATGAATCAAGGAAACCGTACTTAGAAAGGACTACATGAGACCAAACCTCCCGAGTTAGCTGTCTGTACTCAATCAGGAGAGTCACCCAACTTCCCACAATGCACCTCCTCTCAGGTTAACATGGGATGCAATGGCTGCCAGCCTCTACACAGAACTGGGCCCTGTTTCTGTTACTTTCTTCACAGCAGCCAGCAGAGGGCTCACAAGTTTAATTCCAAAGCTGCTGACCAGTGATGATCTAGGAGAGAAATAAAGAATCCTGGAAGGGGCACGCTGGCTTATCCATCACATAAAACACAAATATGACACCTGCTCTAAAGAAACTAGTCCTGCTTCTTCATGTTTTGAAATGATACCAAAATAATAATAATAACAATAATAATAATAATAATAAATTAATACAGTATTATACACCTATTTGAAAAAATGGTATTTATGAAGATTTTGGCAAACATGGAAAAATTACTATGGTTTGTTGAATACTTTTGCTGTCTTAACCGCTTAATTATCAGAATATCAGTGATTGTGTCAACTTACACATGAGCAGATGGTAGTTCTGGGGGCTTACCAAAGCTGTATTTGACATAAAGATAAGTTATTTGAAGGAAATGATGACAATGTTATCTTTACCACAGCTCAAGAAGGGGTTGTTCTGATGAGAATCCATCTGACACAACTACGGACACTGCCAGGAGCAATAAGAGGCAAGCTGTGGGGAGGAAGGCCTGGGGGGAGAGTTAGGGGAAAGGAGGGGAAAGACCAAGACACAGGCATGATTTCCAAACGTCTGAAGCCAGCAGGCAGACGCTTCCCTCTTCTGATACAGCCAGAATTTCTTCTTGCCACAGGTGCCATGTGAGCAGACGAAGCACTCTCCATGCTGGACAAAGGCCTGGCCAAAGGGATTGCTCGCCTGCTAAGAGAAATACTTAGAAGGACAACACAACATACATTTTTGATAGTGTTATTTTTAAAAGGTTATTACAAAGATGTCAACAACATCCAAATTCACTTAAATTTTAGCATCCTTAATTTCCAAAGAACCTTTGTGATCATACTGTTCTTGAAGCAAAGCTATGCCTTGACCTACTAGAATTTGGTTCCTCTATATATAAAAATGTGCTAGAGACAGGTATTCTGTAAAATAGACTTTGAAGAAATGCCATACAATACCAGTCCCCTTTCCAGAAGTTAGCCCCACCTCCATTGCTCCGCTGGATGGAATGGCAGGCAAGCCAAGTAGAGAGGCACGTGCACAGGACTCTAGATGCTCCTTTTCAATGGATATATCTTTCAAGTACAAGGTCAGCTTTCAGTGTCTCTTGTCCTAATTTTCCTTACTCTAACCTCAAATCAATTGCCATCACCTTTAGCATCTAAGAGGGTGGGGGCCACCACCATCTCTCAAGGCATGTCAAGATGTTAAAGCACCAGTCTACATGGTGAGAACCATGTTAAAAATCAATGGGTAAAGTGGCACAGCCTCTATACTAACAAGAAAAAACATTACAGAACACTGTATTTTCATAATTATTATTTCACTGTGTGAAGTTCTCCACTTTGCTTTAAAACTAAATTCCATCTTCCCTGAGAATAGGGTTAAGAGAAACATCAAAACTCAACATGGCAAAGGCCCTTTAAAAGACAACACAAGTCTATGTCTAATCACAATGTTCCTGCTACATGCTTTTCCACTTCTCCAAGATTGGCTCTCATCTCCCTGGGACTCTAGGAACACAGATGGAGATGAGTAAGGTGAGACGAGACACTTAGAAGTGAGGGAGCAGTCACACACCGGCTCCTCTCCGACATTGGATGGCATTGGCCATGGACTGAGGCGGGAACCTGAACATTTAATGCTGGTGTCCTATTGACAGGATGAGTGGGATGAGGCAACCAAGAACCAGGGCTGCCACCTCCAGGCGACTGAGGCCTCTCCCTCCGGTGGTGTCAGGTTTGTGGCTGTGCCCCATTCCACCCACCTCAGGGAGAACATGAACTGTGGCAACATAAAGAAATGTCCCGGCAGAGAAAAGCATGGCCACTCCAGTGGCGTTGACCTCTGAAAGGGCTTCTTTACTGCTCTGTGAATTAAGAAACAAAAAGGAAAAACTAAGTAAAATGAAAGTCAGGGTCAGGAAGAAGTCCCCAAACTCTGAATAGTCATGCCCGGTGCTCCTTGGGACACGGAGGCCATCTTGAGATTGGAGTAACTGTCATGCATGGGGTGTTCTCAAATAAGGGTCTAAGAATATAGTGAAGTATAAATTGCTGCTTAAAAATTTATTTGAAATTCACAATTTTTAATTAGAGATTAAGATCTGTGACTAAACTGTAATAATGAAATCTAATTAACATATTACCTCAAATGCTTATTTTTTTGTACTGAAAACATTAAAAATTTATCAATTTTGAAATGAATACTAACTACAATTACTTTTCTAAAAAAATATTTTACTTATTATTTTATGTGTATGAGTGCATTGCCTGCATGTATGTAAGTGCACCCAAGTCGTGCAGTGCCCATGGAGGCTAGAAGAGGTTGGCTCCCCTGGAACTGGGGGGTTTTTTGTTTCGTTTTGTTTTTTAAAAAAATTTTATTATTTTTATTTTATGTGTATGAGTGTATTGCCTGCATATAGGTAAGTGCACCCGTGTCATGCAATGCCCACAGAGGACAGAAGAGGCTGCTGAATCCCCTGGTCCTGGAGTTATAGACAGTTGTTCGCTGCCATGTGGGTGCTGGGATTCGAACCCGGGTCTTCTGCAAGAACAACCAGTGTTCTTAACTGCTGAGCCATCTCTCCAGCCCCATTGGTTTATTTTTTTTTAAGACAAGGTCTCACTGTATAATCTGGGCTAGTCTCGAACTCTGAATTCTCCTGCCTCAGTCTTCCAAGTGCTGGGATTACAGATGTGTGCCACTATACCTGTTACCATTTGCTAATCTTTATACAGTTACCTACACCTTTTCTATTAAAAAGTACAAGGGGCTGGAGAGATGGCTCAGAGGTTAAAAGCACTGACTGCTCTTGCAGAGGACCAGTACCCACATGGTGGCTAACAACTGTCCATAACTCCAGTTTCAGGGGATCCAATGCCCTCTTCTGACCTCTGTGGGCACTGCATGACATGGGTGCACTTACACACATGCAGGCAATACACTCATACACATAAAATAAAAATAATAAAATATTTAAAAAATGAAAAGTAGAGCTCTGAACTAATTAAAACTTTAAGAAAGGAAGTTCCCACCGATACAGCATGTAACTCCATGCTTCTGTGATTATCAGAACCTTCCTGGAGAAAGTTCTAAAGCATAAAAAACAATGAAAGGAGAGAGCCATATTTTAAAAGTAACTCTAAGGGTAGCTCAGTGGTAGAGTGTCTGCCTAACATGTGCAAGGCCCTGGGTTCAATCCCTGGCACCCAAAAATAACAAATCAGAAAAGGAATAACCTGAAAAAAACTAAATATTACTCACAAGGCTCTTCAGGTGAATGGCCAAGACCGAACAACTTACTTGTTAAATTAAAGAGCAGCAATTAACAAACCCTGATTAATAGAAAGAACTATTCTTTAACCATCTCATTTTCCAACCACACCTTTTTTTATATCCTTTTATTTTCTTCTTTTTTTTTTTTTAATGAGAAAAGAACAGAAAAGAAAAGAAGAAAGAAAAAGAGGGATGGGGATGTAAAATTCAGTGTAGAATGCTTGCCTAGCATTATAAGGTCCTTGCTTTAATCCTAGTAACACACAGATACACACAAAAAAAAAAACCCAAAAGAACCAATATTCCTTTCATTTATTTTTAAAATATTTATTTTATTTTTATTTTTTATGTGTATTAGTGCACTGCCTGCGTGTATGTAAGTGTACCCGTATCATGCAATACCCGAGGAGCTCCGAAGAGGGCGTCGGATCCCCTGGAACTGGAGTTACAAATGGTTGTTAGCCACCACGTGGGTTCGGGGACCCGAACCTAGATCCTCTGCAAGAGCAGCAAATGCTCTCAACCCCTCACCATCTCTCCAGCTGCCCAATATTCCTTCTAATACACATTTATTGCATTATATAATGATGAATCAATGATCTTCAGAGGAGGCACAGGGTGGTATTTTCCTCATAGAGCCTGTTCACTGACGTTAGGTAAAACAGGAAGGTTTGTTACTAAGAACCAAAACCAGGTGGACAGAATTAATAAGGCATGGAAAGGTGCCGCTTGGAAACAGATTATTTGAATTCTGATCTGACAAATGGAATCTCATTTCAAGCCTGAAGTTATGTTCCATGATAAAACACTAGAAGAATCTTAGTCCTAGATGATTCTTGCCATCTTTGCTCTTCCTCTCTCCTGAAGGCCACCAAATGACTTGCCACACACCCTTCATGTGCCTGCCTCAATGTCAGATGGAGGGTGGTTCTCACTGTATATCTGTCAAATAAAATAAGCATGGCTGGCTAAAGGATACTATTTTTTAAGATTTTTTTATGCATATGAGTGTTTGCATGTATTTATGTATACTATGTTGTGTGCTTGGTGCCCATGGAGGCCAGAAGGCGGCCTTGGATCTCCTGGAACTGGAATTACAGATGGTTGTGAGCCACCATGTGGGCTCCGTCTGGGAACTGAACCCAGGTCCTCTGCAAGAGCAGCCAGTGCTCTTAACTGCTGAGCCATCTCTCCAGCCCCAAATGATATTGCTTTAAATACTGACGTTCTACCATATATTTATACAAATATTCTTAGAACTGCCCCAATCTTAGTCGAAAAATTATTGGTAGCTGACTACTGCTGGGTGAGGAAGAGCTGATCTTCTTGAAGGAAGAAACTCTAGATAGGCTGACTAAATCCTGGTGGATGAACTTGCACTAAGGGACATCTGGGGACGCTAACTTTACATGACAGGCCTTAACACAAATGACAGAATGTATGAACTCCAGTGGGGGAGTGGGAGGGTGCCAAAGGGGAAGGGGCTAAAAAGATAATTTTCTGTATAAAATACACAAAAATTCAATAAAAAAAATTAAAGAAAAAAAGTTCTTAGAAATGATATCAAAGTTTTCTAAATAAAAATTAGATTTATAAAGAGGACTAACTTGGAATTAAGACACATATTGTGTACATATTTTTATTCCTAATTTTTATCTTAATTTGAAGAAATAATGTACTTGAAAAATTCAACCTAAGACATTCTACCAGGTGTGAGGAACCTTTTGACACCATGATGTGATGCTGTCAACTACAACAGCCATGCTAGAGAGTCACACAATCAATTTATAAAAAAAAAAAGCAAAAAAAATTGTATCACATTTTAAGTAACTTTATGATTTTGTGTTGGGTCACATTCAGAGCTATCCTTGGCCCCATGTAGCCCACTGGCTGCAGGCTAGACACCTGTCAGAGTAACTAGACACATGACTCTGTAAGTAAGGGATGTTCACACTTACCTTACTTAATCCTAAGTACGTCAACATGGACATGGCTGGTGCTGCGAAAGCAAATACCAGCAAGTGTTTTCTGATTCGATTCCGTTCCAGGCCAGCATGCATGAGGAAGGAGACCAGCCCAAATGCTGCTGGAGCCTGGGAATGACAAAGTACCCCTGTTACCACTCAACAGACCTGGCTTGTTTCCACATCAAGAAAACACCCCTGGTGTCACTTCACTATGAATTCTCATACCAAAAGTCTAAGCACAGCCTTGCTGTTAAGAATTAAAGTTCTATGCCGGAAGTCCAATGTGAGTGCGTAGGCAATTTTTGGTATTTTTGTGCACAAAATTAACTATTTTTATTTTTAAATTTTTATTTATTTATTTATTATTGTTGTGTGTTGTGTGAATGTAGGTATGTGTGTGCTACAGTGTGCGTGTGGTGGTCAGAGGACAACTTTTGGGAATTCAGCTTGCCAGGCAAGCACTTTTACCTGCAAACTATCTCATTAGCCATGTGAACAAAAGTCTATCAAATACAGAAACCTATAGAGAATTTAACCCTTTGTGTATATGACCATGCAATAAAAAAAGCTCTTTAAATAAGAGTTAAGAAAATGATAGCATGCAGGGGGGCAGGAGAACCCCAAAACACAGACTTATATAATTCTTAGAAATTAAGAAACTTAAAAAAAATTATTTATTTATTCATATTGTATGTATATGAGTGTTATGCATACATGTATGTAAATCTTGTGTCATGCTGTGCCCAGGGAAGTCAGAAGAGGGGACTGGATTCCCCTGGAACTGGAGTACAGACCGTTATTAGCAGCCCCCTTAAGAAACTTTTAAAAGGGCCATTTCAAAGAAACATTTAAAGGAGCTGTGTAAGCTTGGGAACCTGAGTTCAATCCCTGGAACCCACACACAGGTGGAAAGACAGAACCAATTACACAAAGTTGTCCTATATCCTCCATATGCCCACTGTGGCAAGTGTACCCATATATGTCATGCACATGTATGCATGCATATGCACAAATAAAATTTTTAAGCTAAAAATAAAATCTCATTCCAGAAAAGTGGACCAAGAGATTTTATTACAAATATGTTTGATCTCACATCGTGGCTCACCTTATGTAGCATTATTGCCACGAACACAATTAACTGGACACTAGTCTGTGAAGTAGAAGCTGCTGCGCCCAAAGCCACACCATCCGCTAAATTTGGAAACAAAGAAACAGAAGATGTCATGAATCAGGGCAGTGCACTGGCTGAGTGTGTGAGCTCTAGAGTCAGGGAGAACTGGGCTTGCTCTGGGAAGGGTACTCAATGTCTCAACTTCAGCTTTTTCACCTTTAAAATGGGCTCAATTAAATGTGCATTTCTTAGGGCTTCATGAGCGTTAAATGAAAGAATGCACGTAAAGAGATTAGCACCTAGCCAGAGTATTCTGTATGTTAGTTATTTTATTGTTGTTAACAGAAAAAGTGCAAAATTCAAACTCACTGATGAGTCGAATTGTAGTAACAGCAGTGCCAAAGAAGAATTTCAGAGAAACATCTCTGCCTTTAAGACACAAAGTCTCAACTTAGATGACTCACACTTGATGGGGAGATTGGCTGAATGGGTGAATTTTGTTAGAAAGCATGATATACCAGCAACACTAGAATAGTAGTGAGCTATTTTTCATGCATTTGGTCCTGACAGAATCTGACTACTAGACCTAACTTTGGGTTATGGGGCTAAAGCAAGTCCCATCAGCAATACTGAGCCTTCTGCCCTCTGCCTACTACCACAGCCTACATTGGGAAGCAGGCTTTTTAGTACCAAAGTACCAAAACTCTTTCCCAGATGAGATCTTAGGGCAGAGGTCAGCAAACTTCTTAAAGTCCAGACAGGAAATATTTTAGCCTTGCAGGTTACTTGGCCTCATAAAAGTACTCAACCCTAGGCAGGCATGGTGGCACAGACCTTTAGTCCCAGCACTCAGGAGGCAGAGGCACGTGGATCTCTGTGAGTGCAAGGCCAGCCTGGTCTACATAGTGAGTTCCAGGCCAGGTGGGGCTACAGGGAGATCCTGTCTCAAAAAAGATAAAAAATAAGTAAGTATCCAACCCTGTCCTTGTTATATAAAAGAAGCCAGAGATGATATAGAAACATGTAGGCACAGCTGTGTTCAAACACAGCATTATTACTTTGAATAGCATCATTTTCATGTGCATGAAGGCTAAAATCCCCAGCCTTTGCTTTCTTCTTTTTTCTTCCTCTTTTTTTGACAGGGTTTTGATAGGTAGCTAAGATCAACCTTGAGCTCAATATGTAGCTCAGGTTGGTCTGAACTTTTTATTCTACTCCCCACACCTCCTTAGTGCTGGGATTACAGGCATGTGCCACCATGCCCAGCTTATTCTTTGTGTTTAAGCATTAATTTATAGAAACCATTCTTGGCTTGTAACTCGACCTAGAATATGCAAGACTTGAGCTCAAGCTGGGGGACTTTGTTAGGCGACCCTCCCCTGAAGGCCAGCCCAAGAGCATTCAGTGCAGATGGTGTCTGTCCTCTGTGAGGTCGAAGGAACAGTCCAGCCTTACCTGCAGCATGGACAACCAGCCCCAGTGTAGTGGTGATTTTGGAGCTGCTAGGCCTTGCTGTTTCTGGATCTGGAAAACAAGAAAGAAGCATTAGGAAGTATGACATAGAAACCATACTAACGTTTGTCTGGAGATAGTGATATATTGTCATCATTGTTATTTTAGTGCGGGACTCTCACTATATAGCCCAGGTTGGCCTTGAGTTCAAGATTCCCCTGCCTCAGCTTCCTGAGTGTGGGATTAAGGGTATGCACATCTGGACAGATGAAAATTTTTGAAAGCCCAGATTTCAAACTTTCAAGTAGATTATTATTGTCCTCACTGCTGTCTTTTCTTTCTACTTCAAACACCTGGATGTTCTCCCTGTCCTAAAGAGGTGGGCAAGAGGGTACCCTTGACCCAGGCTTTGACCCTTGATTAATTCCTGAACTGTTTAACTCCTAAGTGCTTCAACTTCCTCAGAGTCCTTAGCCCTCCACCACCCTGAAAAAGTACTCCATGGCCTCTGACTGCCTCTTTCCAGACCCTCTAACCTTCCTGAAACTCTGTCCTCACTCCAACACCTGTCATGTTTGCCTTTTTTCATTTTATCGCTACATCCTAAACTGAATTTTCATCAACTCAAACCCAAGTTAGTAATAGTCTCCCACTGCTTTTCCCTTCCTCTCACTTTCCCCTCATCAAACCTATCTTAGGCATTCATGTCAGAGGCATCTTTGCAACATTACCCTTCTGTTGTATCTGTTAACCAGTTAGGTCAGCTGGAACTACTCTATTAGGTAGGGGTTTCGTTGTTGTTGCTTTCAGTACTGGAGATCAAACTCAGGGCTACTTAGGCAAGTACTACCTAGGCAAGTGCTCTTTCACTGAGTTATATCCCCAATCTCCAAACCTCACCCCACCCCCCTTTTTTAAATTTTGAGACAGAGTCTCACTAAGTTGCTCAGACTTGCCTTGAATTCACTTTGTAGTCCATGCAGGCCTTGAACTTGTGACCTCCCTGCCTCTGCCTCCTGAGTAGCTGGGATTATATATCTGCACCACCATGGCTGGCTTTAGGAAGGTTCTCAAGCCATTTATCAGCTGGCTCCACAGTATTTCTCAGTGTCCAGACCAGTTAAAACAGTTTCTCCAGTACTTTCTAACATCATTCTCATCCTCCTTGCCCCAAATCTCCCAGCCTCTTGTAGAGGACCTGGGTTTTGTTCTCAGTACCCACAACTGTCTGTTAACTGCAATGCCAAGGAATCCAACACGCTCTGGCTTCTGTGGGCATCTGCATATATACGGTGCACATGAACTCATGCAGCACAAACACATACACATATATAAAAAATAAATCTTAAAAATATATATTAACTCATTTAATGTATTCATACTGATATGCATTATATTATAAATTTGTTCAACTATATTTCAACATAATTGGTTTTCTTTATAATCCTATGTACTATGTTTTATACATTTAAAAACCAGTATTTTAGTAAGAGGGCCACAGGCTTTTGAGTAAGGGCTCCATAGCACAAAACAGGTTAAGGACTTTTGCCCTAGACTCTCAACCAAATGTGGCAGTTTTGAATCCAGCAAGGTAATACATCAACAAAGATTTCCTTGTGCAATGCCATGACTCACCAGCTTCCCAACTGAGTAAAATGTCCCACAACCTCTGAGGAAGACAAGAGTTTTGGCATTTCAATAAGGCCATTGGTTATAATCAAGTCTGCAAATTTCCAGCCCAGCCCAGGGAGCCTGGGAGTTACTCACCATCAGTGGAATGCACATGGGAGCTGCCAATCTGGTCCACCAGCAGCATGAAAACAAAGCCCAGGACGAGGGACACACCGATATAGGCGTGCAGCTGTATGTGGTCGTGGCCGTGCTCATGCTCATGGACAACTGGTATTTCTGCTGCTTTGTCTGATGCAATCACATTCTGCTTGGTTTCACTAGCCTGATGGTGCTTTCCTAGAACAAAGCAAACCACAATGAGAAAAAGGTTTTCCCCTACAAACTTTTTCACATGGCAGCTTTCATCTTGTGATTTCCTTTGTTTACTTTCCTGTAAAAACATCTGATTTCTATATTGTAATCCAGCCAACCACAAACTCCTTTAGCTTAAAAGTTCATGATGAAAACCTTCTCAAATGTCTTTTGCTTTTGGCATGCAGACTGGCATGAGCTGTGGCAGGTATTCAAAGCCTTGGGCTTGGAAGCAACCCACCTCACAGGAATACAGCAGGATTGCAGTCCCATTTCCAAAGGACTCCAACCCTAAGTCTTGTGCTCTGGTGAAACTAGGCAAAGGAACAGCAGCTGCAATCACAGTAACTAATCACACGTCACTCCTTTAACTCCTGAGGTTGAAGACTTTTAACTTTTATAAAATATTAGTGAGCAATCACTAGACTAGCAAAAATAAATAAATAAATAAAAATAAAGGACAGAGCAATTGAAGAGCCTAAATTCTTCCAGTCTAAATTCAGCTCAAGGTTGTTATAGTAACACCTGGCCAAAGGCTATTGCTTATTTATATTCACATATTTGATACTTTAAACGTAAATGCTTAAAGGCCAAAATTTTGGGGGTGTATATATGGTATATATATGTGCTCAACTGTATGTGTGCAAGTGGAGGCCAAAAGTCGGTCAGGGGTCTTCCTCTATGGTTCTCCACCTTATTTTTCGGCATTTATTTATTTGTATGTGTGTGAGGGGAAGGGGAACAAGCACCACAATACACTTGTGGAAGTCAGAGAACAACTTGAGAGTCAAGTTCTATTTTCACCATGTGGCTTCTGGGGATTGAGATCAGCTTGTCAGGCTTGACAGCAAATACCCTTATCCTCTGATCCAGCTTGCCAACTCACCACCTTATATTTTTAGACAGAGTCTCTCCCTGAACCTGGAGCTTGCTGTTTTGGCTACACTGGCTGGCCAGCGAGCCCCCAGAATCCACTTGTTTCAGTCCCCTCTCCCTGTACTAGGGTTACAGATGTGCACCACAGCACCTAGATTTTTACATGAGCTCAGGTTCTCAGGCTTACATAGAAGGCATTTTATCCACCGAGCCATCTTTCCCCACCTCAAATTTTTATCTTTGCTATAGTTCATAAGTAGAAGCTAGCATAATAGACACTAACCATTTATAATTCAACAGTTTAATAACCTAGTGGTTATAGGAACTATATGAACCTGCTATCAAGTAAGCATGTCTACCTGAGGTCCAACACAAAATCTTAAGTTTACTGAGGCTGGGGAGGAAGCTTAGCTGGTAAGCTGTGTAAGTGTGAGGACCTGAATTAGATCCCCAGCTGGGAGTGGTGGCCTTTGCTTGTAATTTCAGTGCTAAGGAGGCAAAGACAGGTAGATCTCAACAATACCCAGGTTAAACTCTGACATCACACACACACACACACACACACACACACACACACACACATAGATACACACACACACACACACACACACACGAACCCGCACACAAACACACACCTGGATATATACATACAAAAAAACTTATTTAATATGAGACTTTGAGTTTTTTTTAATTTATTATTTTTATTTTTTGTGTATGAGTGTATTGCCTGCATGTATGTGAGTGCACCTGTGTCGTGCAATGCTGCAGAGGTCAGAAGAGGGCTTCGGATTCCCCTGGAACTGAAGTCAAGGACGGTTCATAGCCACCATGTGGGTGCTGGGAATTGAACCCGGGTCCTCTGCAAGAGCAGTCAGTGCTCTTAACCACTGAGCCATCTCTCCAGCCCCAACTTCGAGATTTTTTATTTTTATTTTTGGGCAACTAAATTGGGCAGTTCTCAAGCATGAACTTTATAGATGGCAGTGTTATATAAAACAAATGTATGTATGCTCTATTTGTACATATGCATGGCTTCAATTTTACAGTGGTGTATAGCTTCTAGTGCATTATCTCCTAGGCACAGATAGTTAAATGGGTACAATCAGACATTGCACATGCTCCTGGCAACAAGTGAGGTGCACAGATTAACAATTATGTTTTTAACCTATCACTACAAACAGTGGGCATTTATTTTTTTTTAGACACATAAGGGTCCTTATTTGATTATTAAGGGTACTTCCACACCTTGGCTATTCTTCAAGCATTGCTTGCTGCACTTTATTTTTTAACCTTATTTTTGTTTGTTTGTTTGTTTTATGTGTATGAGTGTTATGCCTGCATGTGTGTAAGTGCACTGGTGCCATGCAATGCCCATGGAGGTCAGAAGAGGGTGTTGGATTCCCTGGAACTGGAGTTACAGACAGTTGTTAGCTGATATGAAGGTGCTGGGATTTGAACCTGGGTCTTCTGCAAGAATAGCCAGTGCTCTTAACTGCTGAGCCTTCTCTCCAGCCAAGCTGCTGTACTTTATAAATGACTCTCTGCTTCAGACTTTAAACAGCTGAGGTGTAAAAGGGCCAAACTTTGCTTTCTACTTTCCTGTCTATTTTCATAATAAAAGTAAATAAAGTCCTTTATTCTTTTTTTTTTTTTTTGAGACAAGGTCTCCCTGTAGTCCCAGTGTCCCAGCACTTGGAGACCAGGCTGGCCTTGTTCTCACAGAGATCTGCCTCCCTCTGCCTCCTGAGTACTGGTATTAAAGGCATGCACCACCAAGGCTGGTCATTATTAGTATTATTATTATTTTGAGACAGCGTCTCCCTGTATCCCTGGCTGGCCGCCTTGATTTCACAGAGATCACTTGATCTCCTGAGTGTTGGGATTAAGCCACCGTGCCTGGTCTTATTATTATTTTTTTAATCTTAGCATGGCTTCTATGTCTTAAAAGAAAACAGAACCCCTCCTCCTCCCAAAATAAAAGGGAGCAGAGCAGAACCCCCCCCCAAATATAAAAATTATGGATAAAGGACAATTGTTCAACAAAAGTAGACAGATGATTAAGTTTTTTTTAGTATGTGTCATGTGTGTACAAGTGTGTGTATGCACATACAGAGGCCAGAAGTTGTTGTCTTCCTCTATTACTCTCCCTCCATCTTACTTTTTTTAAAAAAATACTTTATTGCTGGTCATGGTGGTGCACACCTTTAATCCCAGCACTCGGGAGGCAGAGGCAGGCAGATCCCTGTGAGTTCAAGGCCAGCCTGGTCTACACAGTGAGTTCCAGGACAGCTGGGGCTACAGGGAGACCCTGTCTCAAAAAGACAAAAACAAACAAACAAACAAACAAACAAACATATTTTTAAAATTATTTTTATTTTATGTGTGTGAGTGTATTGCCTGCATCCGTGTTGTGCAATGCCGTGCAGGTCAGAAGAGGGCTTCGGATTCCCCTGGAACTGGAGTTAAGGATGGTTCGTAGCTGCCATGTGGGTGCTGGGAATCGAGCCCGGGTCCTCTGCAAGAGCAGTCAGTGCTCTTAACCGCCAAGCCATCTCTCCAGCCTCTATCTTATTTTTTGAGACAGGGTCTCTTACTGAACCTGGAGTTTGCCATGTCAGTGAGACTGGCTGGTCAGCAAGTCCCTGGGATATGTCTCTCTGTCCCTCTGTGCTGGGGTTACAGACACAGCCCTGGCCGTGTCTGGGATCCAAACTCAGGTCCTTGTGTTTGCACAGCAAGCATTTTGCCCACTGAGCCATCTCTGCATCCCAGATGACCATTTCTTTGTGAGGTAAATAGTAAAGCGTTCGCTTCATCTATAAAGAATTTGTAACAGGTTTTCAAAGACTACCATTTGAAAAGACATTATATGCAGAAACACGCTGCCAAATTTGGTATGTATCAAGAATCGTGTCGTAAAGACAAAATAGTGGAACTGAAAGAAAAAAATCTATCATCTTAACAAAAAAAATTTTTTGTCTTTTTGAGACAGGGTCTCCCTGTAGCCCCAGCTGGCCTGAAACTTGCTATGTAGACCAGGCTGGCCTTGAACTCACAAAGAGCTGCCTGCCTCTGCCTCGCAAGTGCTGGGATTAAAGGCGTGCACATCTTAACAAAATTCTTTAGAAGTTACAACTCAGATAAGTGCTATTATAAAAATAATTACATGTTAGCATATTTAATAGCAACCCCCCATTTACTGATGGTTGAGTTCATTACGCAGCATATAGAAAGCCTGGTAGAAACAATATGCCCAAAGGGGGATTTCTATTTCTAAACCAGCTTGGCTCTCTAGTTATAGCCAGGTGAACTGAAGAAACTGGAAAACTGATTGGAATTTTTGGAGAGGAGAGCCGCTCAACTTTGCAGTCATCTGCATTGATAATGATGTCCTGTGCTGGTGGCACTGACGCTGTAAACATGGTGAGGCTGGCTGCTTTTAGGGAGGCGCTGGTGACAAATGTGACACCACTGAAGAAAAGGCACACACATGACACATACTAAAAAACTTAATCATCTGTCCACTTTTTGTTGAACAATTGTCCTTTATCCATAATTTTTTATATTGGGGGTTCTGCTTGCTTTTATTTTTAGGGGGAGAAGGGGTTCTGTATTCTTTAAGACACAGAAGCCATGTGAGATTAAAAGATTAAGAGACACAACTCAAGAGGCTTATATGAAATAAAAAAATCCATCAAAGCAATACTCTACATACATTGCATATCTAGAATAGTTCCTGATGATGCCTCTGTGATGGTAAGTAAAAGAGGGGGACTTGTAAAAATTAATAGAAGATGGTACAATTGTCACCCCAAACTCATATTTTGGTATCACTGGATCAAGAAAATGCATGCACAAAAGCATAAAAAATGGATATTTAAAAAAATGGATAAGACCCTGCGAGTCATCATTGAGACTGTAAATTTTCTAGGCGCCAAGGGACTATATCATCACCAGTTCCAGGACTGCTTGAAAAGTGATGGTGCTGACCTCGGCGATGCCATTTACTTTGTGGAAAAAAGATGGCCACCAAGTCCAAATGTTGAAAAGACTTTGATTTGTGATGTTTAACATTTATGACAAAAGCAAATTTTGTACCAGACCTTGAT